TCGATAGATAAAAGGAAATACAGTACAAGACACACAAGATTGTAACATATCTAATGATCTTGGTATGAGCAGCTCCATTCGTCATTAGCCAGAACCCTCTATCAAAATGTCTGTGTGATTTCTGTGAGTAATTCTCAGTAATGGGTTCTTGAGCTCTTGTTGGGATATTGGTAGTCTTTTATTCTGTTGTCTCCAGGCTCCTGGGAAGCATTCATCTGACCATCGGCCTTCCGGCCACGCCTCGTGTCGTTTGGCATATCGGTTGAGACCGAACAATACAATCCATGGACTGAAAGGCCAGATCCATCTCCCGGTTACCGCCTTGGACTTGTTTCCGTTTCTGAGAGACGTCAGGGTATGCGTGGTAGTGTGGTGATTAGCATGGTGGGTTTACAGCCAGAACAGACCGGGACTGAATCCTGACCGGGGCGTTTCTCTTTGGAGATTGCATATTCTGCCTTGAATCTGATTTCAAAATAGGTTATTAGCTAAGTTATTTCTTATCTCTGTGCATATACTGTATGTGTATTTTTTCCCCTTTTCTGCCCCCTTTGGCACCAAAACATGCATGATTCATAAATTAGCTGTCCTCAAATTACCTAAGGGATCAACAATAGTAATCAGCCAGATATAATTGATAGATAATTCCCTAAAGGGATATTCTCTGGCAAGATTTTATTACCAGTTGGCCATTTAAGAGTGCAATAAGATTTTTTTATCACTAACTTACCCCTTCCCTCAAAATCACTGCGGAGCATTCACATCCAACATGAAAATTCCACTACACTGAATACTCAGAGGGGAATAAAAAGGCCTGAAATGCTGGATATAAACTTGACGGAGTGGAGGCTTTCCAGCTGAGGGGTCAAATCGTGACCAACGCAGTTGCAGCTGTTGTTTCTGTACATTATCTAACGTTGTGTTCACGTTCCGTTAGAACACGCTGACCCACTTACATAACATGAATATGTTCAGCTAACTCTGTATTTTGCACATGAAATCAAACTAAACCAGTAATTTTAATAAATACTGAATATATTAACATTTTAGACTCACACAGGGCAGTCGTATAAAATGCCCATAAATATTCATTTTCTCTCTCATGATTGGATAGTACTGTCCCTTTTGTACATTTAAACAAATTAAACAACTGTGCCATGGCCAAAATAAACATATGAAGGAAATAAAAATGTTTCCATTAGCTGGAAGATTGTGAGAGAGAGAAACATATATTATTCTGCTGATAATTAACACCCATGCTTATTTATTTCTATTTTCCTTCCATGCAACCAGCTTCTCGTGTCCCTTTAAAGCAATTTTCACCCATAATTTTTTAGAACCTTTGATGGTCAGTCATTTTTTTCTGTGGACATTGGTTCTTTAAAAAAAAAAAAACTCTTTTTCAGTTACTTCTGTTTCTATTATTGGTCTTTGACTTTTCCTTTGTAAGATTACTTAAGACTGGATTTGTATTATTTTGAGCACAGAAAATACCCCCTAACTCAAGGGATGAGCCGGTGTTGTGCCTTCACAAAACAGACAACTTAGCAAAGGAGCTATTTTGAATGATATCTTTAAGCTATCTTATCGCATCATTTGTTCCCCTTTCTTTGGTTTTATCTATGACAAAGCAACACAGATAGTCCAGTTAGACAGAGATAAAATAGGTGATAGTTTTTTTGGACCCATGACACGATTGCCTGGAAGCTGTTACACAGCTAGGCAAAAGTGCCACCTAGTGACAACAAATACACAAAGCTTTTCTGTGTGTTTTTTTTCCGTTTCAAGTTTTGCTCAAGTATTTTTACTAAAGTGATTGCGTACAAATTTATACTTCAGGTGTGGGCATTTTTTATTAATATAAAAGAATTGACATTCTAATTTAGAGGAGGGCTTTATGGGAATTTTTGTAACTTAAAAGGCTGTTTTGTGGTGAGATATGGACTAATTCTTTACTGTTTTTTATCAATAACTTTAATAAAAAAAGGTGCAAAGTAATAAGATAGTTTAAATTATTTTGTTTAATTGAATTCCGATCACAAAAAACATTCAGGCCACAGCCCGGTGTTTGAAGTACTGACTCCATTTGTATCAGTCACCGCCACCTACCGCTCCCCCCGCTTCTTTCCCAGCATGCATCTGGCTTCAACCGTGACTGTATCAGATTTAAAAATCTCTCCACTGATCCCTCAAAGTACAATTTGTTCTGAAGGCAACTAGGTGCATCCCGGCTGTCGTTTCCGCGAGCCGGCCAAGAGATGGAGCCCTTTTCCTGCAAATGGCTCCGGAGGTTCTTCTTTTGAATCCCTACGGGGCCGTGGAGGCCGCAGGGGGGTGTTGGGGAGTTCCAGGCAGTTAGTGTCCCAGTGGGGTCTTTTGTGCCGGGCGCTCGGGGGGCAGTTTGAGTTTGCTGGCCCCGTTTGCACCATATGCCACCAGAGGCCTGACTGTCACATTCTATGATCTCTATGATCAATCTCTGTGATGATGGCATAACTAAGCGCACGGCTTTCCACAGCCCAAGTCAAGGAGGAGCATCCAAAAGTCTATTTTTAGATAAATGGCATCATACTTTTCAGTTAGTTTGCATTTAACCTTTATGATTGTCTTTCAATGATAATAAAAAAAAGTCGCTTTGGATAAAAGCGTCGGCTAAAAATGCATGAATGTCATTTAAAAAAAAGTACAGCTGTGGTTAGTATTATTAGTAGTGGTTGTAAGAGGTAAGTGTCCTCTTTCCAAGTGGGGACTTTTTGCTCTGGGGGATTTTGTTCAATACATTTCAGTCATTGCATTTTTGTGAACTTATTCATTTTTAACGGGATCAGGAGTTTGGAGTGGGGACGGATGGCTTGGCTGTTCACACAACCTTGTATTTGTCACAGGAATGACACAAGTTCAAGTCAAGTGACTGATCTGATATGGAGGCAGTTGCAAAGCTTATTCGCTTTTGAGGTGCAGCTCAACGATGAAATTGGATGGTATCTGGACAAAATGTTTATTGTAAAACACATTGTAAAAGACATTTACATATGTACACACAAAAACTAAATTTCAATAAGTAGTGCATCACTGTGATTTTGAAGGCTTTACTGTTTTGGTCAAAGATGAACATCAGATTTAGATTCATATAGTTTTAACCTCCATATGCTCTTCTTTATGTTCATATAGACTTAGAATGTGGGCTCATTTTTAGATGAGCTTCTGTGACTACACTAAAAGATTTTCCTGATGTGCAGCTTGAAATAGTTCTCAATGATGCTCCTGATTAAAAGTGAATGATCTCTTAACAAATGTGAACTCAATTATAAAGCCGAGTTTTTGAAATAGGGACTAAACCATCCCCTTGGTTTGGTACGTTGTGCCTAACGGTGCTCCTGACTGACTAAAGCTTCCATCAGCCGGGGCTGCGCACACACTCCACATAAAGCAACGGCCACGATTCCCACTGAAAGGATAAAGCTCTTCGCAGAAATAGCCAATTCCTTCGTTCTTAAAGCGTGCACATCTATAAAGACGACCGGACGACAGAGAACTAGCTCGTTTAGCAACCGATACGACGTGAACGCTAACTCGCAGATGTTTTGCAACTAGCCTGTTAGCCGACACGGTTGCGTAATTCCACTGTTGTGAGGTTAAAGTTAAATCATACTAGTGTATTTTTTGCACACTTAAGTGCACTGACACTCGATATTGGGCTACTCCGCGTTTGTTAAACGGCTCGAAATACCGAAACAGCCGCGTTAGCAACGTTAGCACTGATGTTAGGGCATTGGAATCTGACACTCTTCAGTGGGAGCCGAGAGCCGTTAGCGTCAGTACGATAACATTTCGAAATATTTCCTCACGGAAACGGCTACTATTGCCACTTATGTTTAGCCCGAAGCGAAGACAGCATTTCACGCTGGCCAACGGATGCCAACGAGTAATTGGATTAACGCAAAACGGCTCAGCCCGGCGTTGTTTTTTTGTTTTTTTTCTTACACCGCTAACGTTTTTTGACGCGCTAGCGCGCGAGCGGCTCGTTAGCCCAGAATTCTGCTCACGAGCGGGGGAGTCCAAACGGGCGCGAGCTCAACTCCGGCGTCCCGCAGTTTAGTCCCCGAGAAAAACGCAACGTTTCGCAAAGCACCGCGCGGGGGGACACGCGCCACTCCGTTGTCTTGTGTCAATTCCTCAAAATGGGGTCTGCTAACGCACATCTCCGCCATTTTGTGACAGGTTTTTCATTGAGCAAAGGGGTACGTGTAATGGTTGAATGTAACCCCATCAAGAAGATATCCGCTTGGCAGTTGCAGAGAAAAGGGATCAGGAGTAATTTCCAACCACCCCCGTGAGATAAAGTCGTTTTGAAGTGGTCAGCAAGGGATAGTGGCAGCTTACCACGACTGCTTAAAAGTCCCCAGCAACAGATTGCACCAAGGGGGGGGTTGGGGAGGGGGGTAGAAGTTCACCAAATAGACCTCCCTGCTACTGCCTCTGTTTATGTTTTGCAGACATAATATTACAGAAACTCTTGGGATTTATTTTTATTCAGAGCTGTCATTTTAGTTGTGACTCATAATTTCCAATGTCAATAACCCCACAATTTTTTTTTAGGTATTAACATTTTTTTTTCTTATATACATTTGAAATAATTTATTTAATGAATAAAATAAATAACGGGATTTATACCGTCAATACGCTCATTTTGAAGTAACGTCAACTTTATATATGTCTTTAATCGAATATGGGGAAACGCGCTGGGTGCCATTCAATTGAAGATTTGGCCACCAAAATTCCCGATTGGAATAGTAAGGGAACAGTGTTAATTAGTGTTGCCCCCCCCCCCCCTCCCCCCCCCCCCCCCCCACGGGGGCATTTCCAAGAACCTCCTGACCCGTTTTCCAAGCCGGGAGAGCAGTTGTCAGACGGTCCCTAAAAAGCCAAACAGTCTCTATTGTTCCAGCGGCCGCCGTGGGCCGGACGGCGGGTGCAGTTGCGGCCAGTGGCCACAGAGGGCGCTGCGCGCATGGCAGCTCGAGGCTCCGCGGCCTTCACATCTTTTTGTCTGAGAACTGGATCCCTCTGCCGCTCTACAGTGTGCGCGATAGCCTCCGAGCTGCGTCCGTAACACACTGTCAAACCACTCCAAACGAATACAGCCGCGACCAAAAGCATTCATTCAGCACCTCCAGCCATGGCGTTTCCGACCTGCCGGTAAATCGGTCGTATTCGGGACTGTTCGCTGGAACTTGGTCCGGGGTTGGATCGGGCTTGCTTTCTGTGTGCATCAGTCTTTATTAGCGAGCTGCCGCTCTCCTTGCTATCAGCTATTTCTTTAACTTTTTAAACACTCGGCTCGGCGAATGACTGAGCGCCGGCGGAGTATGGGATCCTTGGTGTCTTAGGAAGCAACCGAAGTGGGCTTTAACCGTTTTTGCATGCAAAAACAATGGCAAATTCGACGGGGAAAAATCTACTAGATCAGCGAAGGAAAGGACAGGCTTTCCTGGACGAGCTGCGGCAATTTCACCAAAGCAGAGGGTGAGATTGGGGCGTCTTTATTCCCGTGAAATATAACTTGAAATCTAAATTGCATGTGACAGAGAGTTGGCCGAAAGTGTAATTTAAACGCGCGTGCGTTAATTTCTTGTGTTATCCCAACAGATCGCCGTTCAAGAAGATTCCTATCGTGGGTGGGAAAGAGCTGGACCTCAATGCTCTGTATGTGAGAGTCGTCTCTTTAGGTGGATTTGCTAAGGTGAGTGGGGGACCAAACGTGTTATTTCTCCACGCTCCGCCGTGTGCGGACTCCACGCAGGACTTCCCCCACAACTCCGCGCGGATAACCCGGGACAAGTGTGGCACCTCCGGGGGGGGGGAAAGAGACGTTCCAGGGGTCGGCGTTGGCCTTGTGCTAGTTGTGCCCGTGTATCTCGGGCGCAATGTGGTGGCTCGTGTTTGTTGTGCGGTTTGAATCGGGGAGTCCGACCGCTCCGGAGTCAAGAGTGCAGTTGGAGGGACTCAAAAATTAGCGGGCACGTTTAACATCGATTATCGGCACGGAGCCCCCGGCCTAAGGGGGAAGGCACCGCGTCCGACACAGCTGCGTCGCCCGGGCTTTCCGCCGGCAGCCTTTTTTTTTTCGCCCAGGGGGGAGGCAAAGCTTGACATTTTTTTTTCTTTCCCTCTTCCCCCCTTCTCGCAATAGCCATCTTTATTCGGCTTCATGGCTGAACGCGAAATGTAGGCCTCACAGGCCCGTGTAGTGGGTACGGTAAACACCGCCGAGACTCACTCCGAAAGCCAAACGGCTCACCGCAGGCTAACGCGGTTGGAAATGGTCGGAGGCAGTTTGTTTGGAGTTTGGCCTCGCGAGGCTTTAACAGCAAAATGGGGAAAAAGTCAAGTTAGCTCGTTAGCCACAGCGCTAACTAGCCTCAACTGTAACGATAACGTCCTAAATGGAGCCTGGCAGTTGGAGTTACTAACATGTCACGTTTAAACACACGTCCCAAATAGACGTAACGAAAGCTAACCAAATGCCCGAAACCGTTGCCAGTTTTAAACTGTTAAGTATTTAGTAGTTTGACAAAGTTATTGATTAGTGATTCTGATATTTGAGAGAGTAAAGGGGGGGTGGGGGGAGACGACCTGTAGCACCAGATGGCTTCACTGTAACCGCTCTTTTTGTTGTTGTTGTTTGTGTTGTGTTCTGTTCTAACGGGCTCCTTTTTTAACTTGTTTTCCTTTTTTTTTTACCTTGCAGGTCTCGGACAAAAACCAATGGAGCGAGCTCGCCGAGGACTTTAACTTTCCCAGGAATTGCTCCAACGCGGCATTCGCTTTAAAACAGTACTACCTGCGGTAAGTGAGGCTGCCGGGCCATTCCGGGCCGTGCCGGGCCGCTCCGGGCTCAGGTAGCATGTGGGAAGTGTTTACAAACGGGAAGCGGCATTAGGCGGGCTCCCCTCTTGTTTTGGAAGCTACTACACACCGCCTCAGGGAGTCTGAGCTCTGGTTGAAAAGAGTCTGACACATAGGAGACTCTGCTTTGGTTGAGTTTTACATTTAATTTGTTTTTGGGGTTGGGGGGTTAAGGCTGGCGATGCTTTCCCCCGTCTTGAGCGTAAACTTTTCGGTGGGCTTCCTGGCCTTATTTTGGGGGTATGGGTCGGCGTTGAGCAGCTGTGTGTTTCGCTTGGGATTGCATCCATGCCCCCCCCCCCACCCCCCTCCAGCAGTCAGCTGCCAGTGATGGCAGTCTGGTGTGAATGCTGCCATCCACTCAAACAGCTGGCAGGTTTTTTTTCCTTCTTCTTCTTCTTCTTCTTCTTCTTCTTCTTCTTCTTCTTCTCTGCTCTGTGCTGTGGTTACTCCCATCCCTAACACCTGCCTGCAAGGGTTTGCACTTGTGTAGCACAGAAACCCTCCGATCCCCTTTGTTTTTTATTAGTTTTCCCCCCCTCTCTCCTCCCTTTTTAAGCGTAGTAACTAATCACATAGGCGTTGTTGATGACTCGGCATCTTTGAGAAGTTGGCACCGCTTGGCTCGGAGCCCCCCCAGAAGTTTGGGGAACTCCAACAGGTGTAGTTTAGAGCACTGAAACAAGGGCTTACCCCCCAACAAGTGAAACCATTGTTGTGTGAAAGCAATTGTGAAGATATGCCGGAGTGGTTTGACTTTTTCTTTAAAAAAACAAACTCTGGACCTGGATCGGAGCTTGTGTTGGCATTTTGCTTTCTTATCCGGTCAGCTTCTCGGCCTGTGATATATGTTTGGGATGGAGCGGTGAATCGTTGTAGAGCTGTCCACCTCACGCTGACCGTCCTCCTGGGTCCAGGGGTCGTGCAGGTACAGCGGACTTGTGCTCGCTTAAGCTGGGTGGGTGTTTGCTAACATCAGCTAACCCTGATTATCCAGTCGAATGACCACTTGTAACTGCCCTCTGTCTGGGTTTGCCTTTCTAGAGGCTTTCCTTGGAACGATCTGGGAGTTATAGTAGAACACACACATGCAGTAGTTGTTGTCAGCCCGTTTTTTCTCACCGCAACCGTTTGAAATCAGTGAGCAGGTAGAGGGGAAGGGCGCTCTATTTTTGGCGGGATCGCGCCGGTGATCGAGCCCTCTGGTCCGAATGTGTCGGAAAGACGGCGCCCTGGAGTTCAGCGCTCAAAAACCGCCGCCTTCTATCCGATAAATAAATGCCACCCTGTAACAAGCAAGCAGAAATGTGGCAGAAACTTTTTTTTTTCCCCTCCTTCTTTTTTCCTTCCTCTCTCCCAAGCTCATTTTCAACCGGCTGAAGCTCCGACATCAATCGCACTGATATTATTTCAGCTCCAGAGAATGAAGGATTTTTGGATCAAAGCCTCAGACTTAAGACGCACTGAGGGCACAGTTGAAATTTTAGCTTTTGTTTTTTAGCCTCTTACACAGCAGGATTGAAGCAAGATGCTGAAGATGGCTATATCGGGTCCTTCTTTTTTTTTCCCGGGTCTTGACTTGTATATTTCTGTTCAGCGTCTGTGTGTTCTGAACTCTTTTTTTTTTTTTTTTTGGAGCAGATCAGAATAGAATTATTAAAGCCCGATTGTGCATAAGTAAATAGAGCATTTGACGTCTCCTCTTTCCCGCTCCTTTTTCTGTAAGTTTCCCCATCATCTGGAAGTGCTCCGCGCTAAAATCTAACCCCCGAGGATAACCTGTGTTTAAGGACAAGTGGCTTTCCCGACTTGTTAAACGGCTTCCGGCGTGTTCGCCGAGCTCAGTAATCGGAGAGGTGACGAGGAGCGCGTCGAAACCAGGCCCCCGGTGGTGCTGCAGTTCTCCCAAAACCGCGTCCCGCTGAACCCGGGAGGCAGGTCGGGTGACGGATACCCTGCTCCGACCTCCGCTTGCCCCCGTCTCCACAGCCCCATCTGCAGGAAGCCGGGCCCCCGCGAGTCACTGCCGTCTAGGAATACCCAGTTCAGCTCCCGCGCTCTCCGTTTATCGGGATGGAGTTTGCACACATGGCCTCCACCGTGGATTTAAGCGCCCTGTCCTGTTGCGTGGAGGCTTTAGCCCCACGTCATTAATTGTTGCTCAATTGCGATCGGAATAGAACCGAGCGTCCATCCGGCTCTTTTTATGAACAAGTTTGGTCCGGAAACTTTGCTCTGTGTTAAGTTTTCTTGGTGTTTTCTCGTTTTTTCTCGCACTTTGCCAGCAAAGCAGTTTAAACCAACCGCTAAAGGTGCCATCGTATTCACATGTTTTATGTCCATCGTTTGACATATCTGCGTTTACTGTTGTAAATTAAGTTTTCCACTTCCTACTCGGCTTTTCCCCCCATCCCCATAAGGGGCCGGCGCTTGCCCCAGCAGTTAGAAATGTAGCGCCCGGTCTGCTGCGGACTGCTGGCCGCTGATTGGCCGCCCGACTCCCCGTCTTTTCAACAGCAACACGTCCTAGTTTGAGTCGTTTCTGCGATCGTCAGGGTTGCAAATGCCTAACACAGGGAGCAAACACCCAGGTCCGGCCTAGGCTTGTCCCGATCCGATATTTGGATCGGATCGGCTGCCGATATTTGCAAAAAACTGCGCATCAGCCGGCAGGAGAAAAGGCCGATACAGACTCCCTATCCAGTTTTTTTTTAAAGTCCGATCCCACACGAGCATTAGCATCTCCTAACCCACAGGTCTGTGTCCTAACCATTAAGTTATCAGAGTAAATCCCTGTTCAACATGAGTCTGACAACTAAGTAAGTAGATAAATAACTTTAAACTTGAATACATGCTCTGATAGGCCGGTATCGGATCGGAAGTGCAAAGAGCTGGATCGGGACATCTTTAGTCCGGCCAGCTTCCATCCTTTGCTCGTGATGTCACTGGTCTGCCGACTTGTTTTTTGTCAGTACCTGGTATAATGTTAGGCAGGGCTGAGTTGGTCCTAAAGGGAAAAACCCCCCCAAACTTCTCACGACCCCACCAGTCACACAGCCCCGCGAACATGTCTGCGTTTTTTTTCTCCGGTATTTAAAAGGCCAGAAGCAGCTACAGGTGGCTTTTAGTCTGTGTTTTCATCGCTTGGTAAAAGGCAGCTTCTAATGAGACGATCGGCCCTCTTTCCGCGCCCCCCCATCCGACCTGAGTGGGCCGCGTTGAGGAACTCGCCGCCCACTGCTCGTGTCTTAAGTCGGGAGAGTGTCAATCGCAACGCGGCGTCTTTATCTTTCAGCCCGGGAAAGAGCTGTCACCGTTTCCAGAGCAAAGACAGGAGCCCGGCCACACAGAAACACCGGTTTAGTTTTTTTTAGTTTGTTCCCTCTCCTCCTATGATGTGGGTTTTTAGTTTTCACCCCGCGTACTCTCCTGGCTGTAGTTTCCCGCTCCAGCCGATGGATTCCCCTGCCCGTCTGGAACATCTGGACCAGGCAGCCTTTGATCTGCTTCACATTAGCTGTGTGTGTGTGTGTGTGTGTGTGTGTGTGTGTGTTTCTCTCTCTCATGCCGCCGCCTCATCTGAGCGGGCGCTCCGGCTTCAGAAGTGCCCGCCTGATGACCATTTGAGACGCGCACAGGCGCCTTTTCCTTCCTCCTCCTAAATAGCAGCGAGAGTTTCTCAGCGACACAGCGGCAGCAAAGGGAACTTGTTACCACAGATAACACCTAAAGGCTCTCGAGACTTTTTTGTTTTTGTTTCCGAACGCAATTCGACCTACCCTCCAGCGGCGTGAGCCATCACTGATAGCCTAATCTTCCTCACTCAGCTTCCTCGCTAACAAGCAGATGGGCAGATCTGCCTTCTGCTGGACAGAGTTGATACAATCTGGCTTTAGCCTTTCATAAAGGAGATGATGCATTTGGTGGGGGGGGGTGGATCACCGACAGGAAACCAAACTGTTGTTGAATGTATTCGGCATAGTTCAGGAGCTTGTGCAAATTCTTTATTGTTTTCATTTCGCCCACGCCAAACCTTTTAATCATTCCCACATTCGCGGCCGTCTTAAGTGTGTTTTCTTGTCTAGTATAAATCAGGCTTCAGCAGAGCTGTCATCATTATTCTTATTAAGAAAAAAAAAGAAAGCGGCAGCTTATCTGGACTGCTGGCATCAGGCTCCTCTGCTCGAAAAAAAACCCCCGTTTAATAAGCAGATTGAGTGAGGAAAAAGTGTCGGATCGGAAAAGAAACGGCTCGCTACTGTCGGCCTTCAGCGAGGAAGCCTCCGATTTCATTTGAGGCAGCGTAGAAGAAGAGACGGGAGGAAGAGTGGATTTATTTACTCCTTTTTCACGAATGTTGGATTAGTTTTCCACCGAACCTTTACCAGAAAACCAAATAGTTGTCAGTCTGATTAAACTGTTGCAGCTTCTCAAAGCTTAGAGTAAACTGAGCGGTTTAAGAGGATTCAGGTGACCACAAAAGTAGCCGGATATAGGAAAGAAAGCAGAAAAGGGTTTCTTCTCATTCAAATCCTTGTCAGACGACTATATGTGTAGAAATTACTTAAACTCAGGCCCTTAAGGTGATTGCCCCTCTGCTCTAACAAAACCCAGAATTTTATTTTCCCCCACCTACAAACTCGACATTCAGGTTACTTAAAGAGGACATCTGGACTTGAACGGACATCATCTCAGACATACTGTCCATCTTTTGTCTTTGGTTTTGCTCCAAAGCTGCCCGGTAGACGCAGCGGAGCGCTAGCAGCTAACCTCGTGGCTAGCTGTGTTAGCTCCCGGTCTGAATACCAGAAAAGGCCTGGGCCTTTTCCCCTCACCATCTCAGCCCTGATCGGCTTTACTCTCCTCGCCACGACTCCATACTGGTTTGCCGTAACGTGCGAGGTCCTAACAGAAAGACGAACCCCAACGGCCCTGTTGCCAGCGGCAACGCCGACGGACGACGGCGGAGGCCGGACCTCAGCGTTGGCGCCGCGGCGTTGAACTGCATAGCTAGCCTTCACTACGTGGAACGACTAAGAAACGAGGACATCGGGCGTTTGTTGTCGCCGTGTGTTTTGGACTTACCCGGTCAGGTGGATCCTCAGCCAATCAGGGGCCTGGCCCTTCCCGCTCAAAGCCAAGCAGGGGCTCAAATTGTACATGCTGAGAGGTTTTACCCCAACCCCTGAGAAATTTTCTCTTCCTGGCTGACCGTTAGAAGGGATGAAATGGCCTCGTTACTGCTCGTTTAAACCCATTTTTTTTTTTAAAAAAGCAGCTGGATCAGGAGAGAGGAAAAAAGACTGAAAGCAGGTCTGAAGCTGCCATAAAGTCAAAGCCGTCTCATAAATCAAACGACGGTTTTTAAGATTCGCTTGCCTCCCACCAGACATAGGTGCCCCCCCGGATGGAGCAAAAACGGTGACCCAGAAATCCGAGCCCATCGTTTCTCAGCAAAAGCTGCTGGCCGGCGGCCGGAGTGTCCAGCAGGGGGCGGCCGGGGCTGCCGGCCGGGGGCAGCCAGAGGTGTCTCCCCCCCCTGGAAGGCTCCGGCTCCTCGCTGGTGGAGCTGGGGGTGGGGACGGGGGTGGGTGGCGGGGGTTTGGAGGGGAACTTGGCAGCGGTGTAGATGCGGGAGGGGGAGGGGGTGAGTCTCATGCAAAACGACGGCGGTTGTGGCGCTGGCTCTAAACAGGATGAGGCTGATGTGTCTCTTATCATCCGTGTGTGTGTGTGTGTGTGTGTGTGAGGGGGGGAAGTAGCTCCAGCACATGGAGCTGCACTCGACTCTATTATCCAACCCCCCTTCCCCCCCCCAGCCTTTATCTCGCCTGTGCCCAGACAGCGGTTGATGACGCTGCAGTCAGTTCTCTCTCTCTCTCTCTCTCTCCCTCTGCTGTCTACACACACACACACGCACACACACACACACACACACACACACACACACACACACTCTCCTCCCTCTGCAAAAGAAGGCAGGGTGTATTTATAGTCCAGTGTGTCAACCGACAGGCAGCGAGCGGGGGATTACCTCGGCCACGATGAACAAGCGGGTCCTAATTCGGCACCGGGCGCTCGGCGGGTGACTCACGGCGGCCGCCGCCGCTGAGGCATTCCGCCGCCGCCGTCTGTCAGGGAGACTTCAGCACGCCGCCGCGAGGCGTTAATCAGCGCCCGCACAGCCCGCAGAGTTTTCAGGCTGCAAGTACAGAAGATTCAAAAGGTTTTTGAGCAGGTTAAAGAACAGAAACGTGGATGTTTTTAGTGCCTTTTTAAACGCCGGCCAATCAGTGAAGGAGCAGAATTGGGCAAAAGCTCAACTGTAAAAATGTTTTATTTATTTATTTATTTTCTCCACCAAAATTCAAACTGAGACTCTGGGGTTGTAGTTTGTGTGTGATGTCTTCAGGCACAAGAAAGCTGCTCATCGTTTCATTCTGCTCTCTATCCATCAGTCATGTGAGTTCACGCGCTGTTAGATTTTTTGAGCTTGTTTTATACTGACCGAAATCCGGCCCGGTCCGTTCTACGGTTGTGGGTTCGGCTCTCCGGACAGCAGATTGTCTCTTTTATCTCTTTTATTAGAGCTGGAAGACGCCTTTATGTCGATGTGTATGGAGGCCTCAGTTCTGGTTTTGTCTGCACTAGGCCGTTCTCTACTGGATTTTTTATAAACGCAGCTTTCTTAATTTTTTTATTTAAAAAAAAATAATAATAATAATTTTTGTCTTTATATTTCAAGGCTTCTTCAGGACAGTATATCTATCTGCTAGTAATGCACTTACCTGAGATCGTGGTGATATGTTGTGTTCAAATACCTTTAAAAATGTTGTTGTTTTTTAGTTTGTTTTTAAAACTGTAATCTATTTTGTGTTTAAGAGGTTTTGGATGTGTGGGAAAAAAAAGTTTGGTGAATGATTTATGACTCCAGTGTTTTTGTTGATTGCCCTTTTAAAAAAAAAAAAACGAAAAAAAAAAAGATAAAAGATGCTATAGTATAGCATTTATAGTATATTCATTGAACTTTTTAAACAGAAATGATCCAATCAAGCAGATTTCAACTCTTTCCAGGCTTTCTTTTAACATACATACACTTCTACCACCTGGCGACCATTCAAGAGAAAGTTTTAAAAACTTGTATTGTTTTTTTTTTTATCTGACTGGGAGCTGGGGAGCACATATAGTTTGAATTCACACGAAATTAACTATAAGTTTAGTTTTTTACTACCATTGCATAGTGAGGCTGTTTTTTTGCATCATAACAAACAGATTCTAATATCAACTTTTCTTATTTTTAACCCCCACCCCCCTGCTTTCCTCACAGATACTTGGAGAAGTATGAGAAAGTCCACCACTTCGGCGAGGACGATGAGGAAGCGCAGCCGGGGAATCCCAAAGCCTCCCTTCCCGTCGGTGCCATCCCCAGCACCTACAACTACCAGCAGCACGTCGTGTCAGGTAGGCGGTACTGCAGCCCCCCCCCCCCCCCCCCTCCCCCCCTCCTTCTTTTAAACCGGCCTGTGGCTTCAGTTCATGGTTCTGCTGCTACTCACCAAACCGTATTGTCTCGAAGAAATTGCCCAATCAACTTTTTTTATATAAATATTTCACCTTGATTCCAAATACTATATAGGAATCCACATACTATAAAGGATTTCTGTTTGTTTAGGGATGTTAAATGCCCATACAAACCAATTCTGTTGGGCACAGTTTGCAGCTTTCAGGCTAGTTTAACTTAGAAAACAATTACCTGCGAACCCCATGAAGGTTTTTATTTTGTGTGGAATATTGAATCCTAGATTAATGAATTGCAAGGGGATTTTTTTTGGTTTCTTTTGTTACGTCAGTGCTTTTAAAATGGGGAAATTAAGTCAGGCTACAGAGTGCTGCTCCACCTGTTTGTGACGCCAGTTTATTCTGAGTCCTGCAGTTAAACTACAAGCCCGGATGCATCTGCAGATCTAAGCAGAAAAAGATGAGCATCTTGTGTCGTTTTGTTTCATAAGGAGTGTTTACCACAAAGCGATAATGTCCTGTTTCTTTTCTTGTTGAAGCTGTCTTTTTTTTTCAAAAAGAAAATGAAAAAACTGCTTTTTTGGGGGGTTTACCAGCACAATAACAGACATCCATAATATCTCTTGCTCAGCTTTTCCAGTCGGGCTCTACAAAAATCAATTTTTTTGTTGTAAATTGCATCGGCTTCTAACTGAGGGGGGTCGCACCACATGCAGAGTTATTTTGAGCCACCCAACAATAATGCCGAGCCTTTACCAGCCGCTGGCCCACAGATCTGAGTCTGTGGTGGCGCCTCCCCCTAAAATATGGTTTAGTTTGGCAGCTGTGGGCGCGTAACGCTCTTCCTGTCCGCTGCCTGGTTTCCGTTCCCCGCTGTGCGGCACTCTGGGCCGTCCAGCGGGAGCCCCACCGGGATCCAAGGCTTTTCCCAGCCAGCTGCCGGTCAGCCTGCTGCTGACCGGGGGGCCGCTCCTGCTGCTGACCGGCGGGCCGCTCCTCCAGATGATTGACCGTCCTGACGGCAGTTATTGACAAAGGGGAAGAAGGAGCCCGCGCTTTTTTCCAGTCTCCCTCCGCCTCAGCTCTGATGAGCCCCCGGCTTCTTTTCTGAATGGGGCGGCCTGCGGAGTTAATGGACAGCAAACGGCGTCTGCAAACGGCGTCTGCAGTGGCTGCGTTTGTCCGTTTCTGTGTTCAGCGCAGTAGGACTGGACATAACGGCCCCAAACGCGGACAGAAAGGCACATCTTCCAGAAATTCTGAAAGGAATCGGCCATGTTCCAAATAGGGATTTCCCGATCAAGATTTTTGCACGTACAATTCGATACAGATGCTGGCCTATCTGAGCATGTATTAAAGTTTAAAGTTATTTAGCCTACTTACTTAGTTGTCAGACTCATGTTGAACAGGGATTTACTCTGATAACCATTTAATGGTTAGGACACAGACCTGTGGTTGAGGAGATGCTAATGCTAATGCTCGTGTGGAATCAGACTTTAAAAAAAAAACTGGATCGGGAGTCTGGATCTGCATTTTCTCCTGCCGGCCGATGCATATTTTTTTTGCAAATATTGGCAGCTGATCCGATCCAGATATAGCGTGGCTCAGAAATGACCCAACCACCAAGAAACAGACAAGTTTTTTTAGTTGTCTTAGTATGGGTATTGCCTATCGAAGTCCGCTAGTAGCAAAACTATTCCGTTTCCGTTGAGTTTGTTTGGAAAAGCGCGCTGCTGGGGAGTGTGGCGGCGCGTAGGTTCCGGAGGCTGAAACGCGTCCCGCCAGAGGCCGAGTGCGGCAGGCAGGACCAAATAAGGCTCAGCACCTCCTGCACGCGCTCGCATTCCGGAAAGGCAAAACCTCGCCGCTTAGCGACCCGCGTCCAGCGTCCAGCCTCATTTCTGTTCCTACTCGCAACGCATTTATGCTTTAGTATTTGCATTTTCCCTCCCCACGTGTGGCCCATCGGTGTCGGTTCAAATGTGCTGTGAATTCCAGGCCTCTTTAAAGGGTTTTTACTATGGTCTGAACTCCTTATTTGGGCGCTGACGTATGCCGTCTGCTGACTGAGCGCTTCGTTCACTCCCGGCTGATCGAGCCGTTGCTGCTAAGCAGCCAGATCCCCCCCCCAGCCGCCGCTAAGGGAGCCAATCCGGAGCTGCTAGAGGAAAGCGAGGGCTGCTTTGTCAGAGCCGGTCGCTTCTCTTTTACGATTCGGGTACCACGGCGAGGCTTTGAAGGAGCTTTGATAGGAAATCGGCCCCCGCTCAAATCCTTTTTTCCAGCCCGGCGGTGGGATACACAGAGCAGGGCCGCTGCCCCCCGTGTGACCAGCCAGCAGAGAGACCGGACACTCTGGGAAACGGGCTTTAGGGAGATGGAGAGGAGAGGATGGAGCCTTTCCACTCTGACACCCCGGATCGTCTCTATTTCTTGCTATGAAGCAGGAAAGCCGTTTTCCCACACAGGAAATGATGATAATTAGAAAGGATTCACTATAGATAGATGGAGGGAGAGATGCATTTATAAGTCAGGGAGGGCTATTGTTCTCCAGTCCAGTGGGATTGGGTTCATCAGAGGGATCTCTGCTGTTCCTGAGTGGTGAAATTAAAGATGTTTGTTCTGATTTTTATTTGTATTTTTAACCCTTTTTTGTGCGGACGTTCATAACTTGCCCCGTTGCTTTTTGCTCTGTTGTTAGGAGTGTTTCCACCAGTGTTTTTATGTTGTTTTTGTTTTGTTTTTTGCCCCCCCCCTCCCTCAGACTATCTCCGCCAAAGCTATGGGCTCTCCACAGACTTCGCTCAGCCGTGCGACTACAACAAACTGGTGCTGTCGCTCCTGTCGGGCCTCCCCAACGAGGTGGACTTTGCCGTCAACGTTTGCACTCTGCTCTCCAACGAGAGCAAGCACGCCATGCAGCTGGACAAGGACCCCAAACTGGTCACGCTGCTGCTGGCCCACGCCGGCGTCTTCGACGACTGTAAGTAACCCCCCCCCTACACACACACTTTTTAGGCAGTTTCTTTCCATTTTCCTCCAGCTTCAAAAGTATTTCCTATCCTCTTGGCAGCCGTTGAAAACTATCAGTCTGAAGATGAATGTTTATCAAAAGGTCAAATCTGGTTTAAGCCTCCCTTTTTGTTTCCTTCCAGCTCTTGGCAGCTTTTCGGCGGTGTTTGGGATGGACTGGAAGGAGAAAACCTCCCGGGACTTTGTCAGGGTGAGGAATTTTCTCTTTGGCGTGTGTGTGTGTTTTTAGCAAAACCTCAGAATAATCTATATCTTTAATCCAAAGCTATGAAACAAACTCTTCCCCCCGAACCAGCGAGCATCTCTGTTGAGTCTGAATATCGGCAGAAATACCTCTGAGCGGTTTCCCCTGAAGCATCTCGAAGGGTGAAGGTCCACTCACCTCAGCCTCTCTCCCCGTTTGAGATAACTTATGCATTAGTGGCATTCGGAGCACTGTGTTCCCGTTTTCAATTCATCCGCCGTCCCACGTGCTTCTAGGCTGCTCCGAGAGGAGGTCAGAGGTGACAGACGGTCAATAAAAACGCTCCGACAGCCGGCGTCCAGATGAAAAGGCTTTGATGGGCCTTATCCGGAGGAGCGCAGACCTCCACTTCAGAATGCTCAATGCATTCACTTCATGTTTTTCTGATTTTATTTGATTTTTTTTCCTCTTTGATTTAGAAAAAAAAAAAAAAGAATGCCATATGTTAGAGGCAGCATCAGCTCCCAGTAGGGCTGAGCGAAAAGTTAGATTTTGATTTTTCTTTTTTCTTTCCCCAAAATGTTCCACTTTATATGGAAACATTTTTGTATTTTTTTTCTCTGGAATATTACAAATAATAAACAGGTCGTTGTTCGTTCGACATCAAATACCCAAAGTTCCTCCAAGAAGCCGAACTTCTCAGGCCCTTTTTTTCAATGATCTTCTCCTGGGCAGTATTCTCCTCTCGATTCCTGTTCAGCGCTGTTTAGATGTGATTGGGTATTCGCAGGTCTGTGAAAACTGATGACTTTTTTTTTTAAAAAGGCGCCGGCTTATCGAACGTCTCATTTATAACCGTAGAGAAATTTGACATCGCGAAAAAAATCGAAATCGGAAAAATTGCCCAGCCCCAGCTCCCAGCAGCTCAGAATCTGACCGCTCGGTCGGTTGCATTTTGGGAAATGTAGGCAGAATCCCACGCCTCTCCATGGCCATCCCATGGGTGTATTTATTTATTTTAAGCGTGTGCTTCCCTGTGAGCACCAGAGACTCTCTGACAGCCGAGTGAACTCCCTCTGCCAGAGCCTGTGACACCGTTTCAAAGACTTTGCTAACAGTTTCTTTCGTCTTTTCTTTCTTTATTTTCAGTTTTGGAAAGAGGTGGTGGAGGACGCTGAAGTCAGGGAGCTGATCTGGGACAAGAGCAGCCCGGCACAAGGTGACCAGTAAAAGAGCGGCGCACACACTTTAAACTGGGTCATCCATAGGATGAATATCCTTACAACAGAATGTAAAGAACGACATAATGAATGAAAGTGCCGTTGTAAAGAAGACTTTTTCATACAAAAAAAGATTCCTTAAAGTCTCAATTTGTATTAAATAAATACCAACATGAAATGTGTTTCCTCTCTCCAGATGGGATGTCGTGTGAGCGCTGGCCGAGCCTCTTCCACCCGCCTCGGAACCCGGGTATCAGCGACATGGAGGCCCAGCGGGTGCTGCAGATTGCCGTTATCTTGCGAAACCTCTCCTTCGAGGAGGCCAACGTCAAGCTGCTGGCGGCCAACCGAACGTGCCTGCGCTTCCTTTTGCTCTGCGCCCACTGTAACCTCATCTCACTCCGGCAGCTCGGGCTGGACACGCTGGGCAACGTGGCGGCCGAGGTGGGTCCCCGGCCGCGGGGTCGTCCACGGCAACGGCCAAAACTCAGACAAAAGAGTTACATTGGTCTTTTTAAAAACGTCACTACGAGATGGTTTGACGAGGCGATGTTTATTTTCTACCTCCCACACAAATGTAATGGTTTTTGTTTTGTCGAGGGCAAAATATTCAACATGGCCACCAGACTTAGTTGTATTTAGACCATAAAATGTACGATTAAAAGCCGTTTCAGATTAGTTGCCTGCAGATGTAAACATCTGGCATCTTTCCTGGCGTCTATGTGCTCTTGATTTAATGCCACTAAAATTTAAGACCATCATTATCTGCTTTGATTTTATTCTTATTTTAGGGTTAGACCCTTTAATACAGTTATGAACGCTGCTCTGACAATGTCGAGGCCTGAATTCTTAAAATGACAGCAAATTGTCAGTTACAGTCAAATTTATAGTCTCAAATTGTACCAAAACGAACAAAAACTGACCTACAACTCTTAAAATCCCGGACTCATCTCTTGTGAATTCATTCATTCATGCATTAATTTAGTCCTCTTTCATTTTTGTAAATTGGTAAAAAGATCAGTTCCCTGTCTTTTTAATCGCTCTTCCCCATTTTACATTTTTACATGTTTTTCTTCCCGAAAATCTTTGGGGTTCTTCTCTCGTGTTCCTGTACACATCGGTTTGGTCGAGTGTCTGAGGAGGACAACTTGACTCCCATTTAAATTTTTATTCCTTCTCCCCCGGTGTGTTTTCTCGCAGCTCCAGCTGGATCCCGTCGATTTCCGGACGACACACCTGATCTTTCACACCATCACCAAATGCTTGATGTCCAGGGACCGGTTCCTCAAAATGAGAGGCAAGTTTTCTGACCCCCAAACCTCCCACACCCCACAACCCGTCTCCAAGAAGCGTCGGTTAAACAAGTGCGTTTGTACCCCCCCCCCTACAGCCATGGAGATCCTGGGGAACCTCAGCAAAGCCGACGACAACGGCGTGCTAATCTGCGAGTACGTGGACCAGGAGTCGTACAGGGAGGTGATGATGCTCCTCACCCTGCCGGACCTCATGCTCCTCATGGCCTCCCTGGAGGTGCTGTACCTGCTGGCCCAGCTGGGCGAGATCCCCTGCAGCAAGATCGCCTCCGTGGACCGCAGCATAGGTAACGGGACGCAGACCCCGATCCGCCGAACGGGCTGAAAACGTGTCTCTTGGTTTTTAACTTTTCCCCCCCTCTCTGCCCCGCCCCAGACCTTCTGGTGCGGTTAGTGTCGGTGGACCTGCACACGTTCGGCCCCGACGCCCTGACGGCGGTGCGGCTCATCGAGCACCAGGCCAGCGTGGATCAGGCGGCCGAGGTGCGCCCGCAGCTGGTGGAGCAGGTTCCGGCGGCCGGGCAGGGAGCGCAGGCACCAGGTGAGCCGCCGCCCCCCCCCCTTACTCCACCCGGCCGAGCTTAAAGCGCCGCTAGGGATGAGGAATGCAGGGAAAAGAGCCAGAATCAGCCTAAGCCAGAAGTTTGCTGTTTATTTACCTGAACCGGGCTCTTAATTTGTTATTTATTTACCTGAACCGAGCTCTTAATTTGGTATTTATTTACCTGAACCCAGCTCTTAATTTGGTA